CCTCCAACCCCGGAGAACAGTTTAGCACTGATGGGGCTATCCGGTATAAATAAAGTTAATTTAGTTCAGGTTTCCTTCTGAACCATTAAGGGATGACCCTTACTGGACCTCTAGGGGGAACAGTTTAGCACTGATGGGGCTATCCAGTATAAATAAAACTCCGATCCTTCACTACCTTACCTGTTTTGCAAACAGCAGGCGGGAATATCCTAGTGATCATGTCCCAAGATCTCCTTAACACTTCATGTAATAGAGGTCTAATGGAACTAGACAGTGCTCTTCCGGGTGAGACCACGGCTCGCTGACATGCCGGGACCATTGTCTTGATTGCTTTGGCAAAATCCTTGCGGGCGACACGTACTGTACTGACATCCAAGACTAGTTTCTTCTTAGAAGCGTAGATCTGCGGATAACGACGACGCAAAGCAAAGAGTGCGGCCTCAGTACATAGAGCTTTGATATCAGCGCCGCAATAACCTACACACTGGTCTGCTACATCGTTGATGAAGCTTGGGAGCAGTCTTGGTTGCCATGCTTTGGTGTGAATGGATAGGATGTTCCGACGCGCCTACATGTGACAATATGGAGTACATCAGTTATAGCTTAGGCTACGTTTACACTGTAAGCGGATATCGTTTTGTTTTTTGTGGGTTTTTTTGTATGTGTTGGTGTTATGTACTCAGGTGAATATGATGCTTGTGATGTTACTCTGATAATGGACACTCAGAGAGTAACATCACAAACATCATATTCACCTGAGTACATATGTATGTATGTATGTATGTATGTATGTATGTATGTATGTATGTATGTATGTAAACTTTATTTAAAGACGTTAGCCTCGTCAACGATTAGTTGATTTTCACGAGGGACGTCTGTTACTATTAAAAATTACAAATATGATATGGAAAAGAATAAAGAATTATATACAACTATTTACAATACAAGAATTAAGTTCCAAACGGTGTGACCCATATTTCTAAAGCATGCATATACAGTATATTAGAAGATGTTAGCATGAATCTTTCAGGCAGTTTTTAAAAGAATAAATTGATTGCGCTAGCTTCGCATCAGAAGGAAGACTATTCCACAATTTAGCTCCGCTATACTTAAAGCTTTTTTTTAGAAATTCTCGTTTTGGCTTAGCAAGGGTAAGGTCAGTATAAGTATTGCGAAGATTATAACTGGTTTGAACAAGGTCCCTTCTCATTAGAGCATCCTTCAAGTTGTACATAACAACTTGAAGGATGCTCTAATGAGAAGGGACCATCGAAGGAACTAGACTCAGTTCTGAAATATCACCAACTCGAACCGACTTGACCTCGTAGCGCAGTTGGCAGAGCATTGGACTAATATATCCAATAGGTTGCGGGTTCGATTCCCACCGTGGTCAGGACAACATTTCAGCTTGCCCGGTGTGGATGCACACTAGAGTAACGTCACAAACATCTCCTATTCGAGTTATCATAAACGCCTGCTACCAATATACCTGTTTGTCCGGCAATGGGAAAATACATTCTCGATCAAAACGCCCGGGTCTTCGCAGTGCCGGATCGATGGAATCAATGCGGTTCGTCGCGCCAATGACCACGATCTCCCCGCGGTTGTCGAGGCCATCCATCAGAGCAAGCAGTGTCGACACGATAGAACTGTGGATCTGATCTTGACGACTGGAACGAACTGGAGCCAAACCATCGATCTCGTCAAAGAAAATGATCGACGGACGCATTTTGAACGCCTAGGAATAGAAAGTGAAAATAGAACTGATTTGTAGTTTAGTACTTTAGTTGAATATATCACCTTGAGCTATAGAAGGAAAAATAGGGGAAACCTGACAAACTGGCCAGAGACAGGTCATCATTAACAGTGGGCCTACAGTAGATCTTCCTAGCAGCAAATTCCAAAAAATACAAAATTCCTGTGTAAACGCACATCGCCACTCAAGCAAAATTTCCACGGACAGAAAATGTTCCGAAAATATCATTGTTAAAAGTTGAAAATTTTCAACTTCAAAATTTTTTTCCGACTGAAAATTTGTGCCGGGCAATCGCATTTTATAAAACTTCCTGCATATGTAGATTTCAGAGAACGGTAAGGTATGTCGAAAACAGGCATACTTTATAGCCGCAAACCCTGGCTATAAAGCTTATAGCCACAAACCCTGGTTTCTGGTTTGCCGATTTTGTTCTATTTAGTTTAATGTACCTGATCAAAGAGAAGACGCAACTGTCGTTCCGATTCTCCAACCCATTTACTTAAACAATCTGCGCCTTTCCTCATAAAGAACGCCACTCTCTTTCCATCTTGACCACACTCGTTGGCCAAGGCTCGAGCCATCAGAGTTTTACCTGTTCCTATCAAACAAAGAACCCACTTGTCAAGTTAACGGTAGCCTGAGTAAACAGCCGCTTATTATTGCTCGTTCCTCCTAAAAATATTCTTGGGAGGAACGGTAATATAGGCGGCTGTAGCCTGTATATTCAGGCTAAGTTAACGGTAGTTCAGTATAGAGTTAGACTCTATTCAAAATTCAAAGAGTTGCACAATCCTGGCTTTCGAGTTCACATGGGAACCGAAGGAAAATGAGCACGTACGAATTCCGTGAGAACAAATGGGAATACAGTACAATCATAAAATAGAAAGGTCTCAAACCTGGCGGTCCATGGAACAGAACACCTCTTGGTGGATTCACTTTGAAATTCTCGAAATACTCTGGATACAACAGCGGGAACACAACCATTTCTTTTAACGTTCTCACATGTTTACCAAGACCTCCAATACTTTCGAATGTTATCTGTAGAAGAAAACGACACAATTCTCTCAACATTCACTCTATAGATTCGCTTTTGTAGCCTTGTCCTTTGTGTAAAATGGCTATATAGGTTGAAATTTACCGCACTTTTTGCATAAGTTGGTATTCAGTTTCGCATTAATGTTTTTGACAAAACGTTTAATATAAACCTCCAGCATAATTCTTCATGAGGAAAAGAAAAACGAAATCACAACCGCGTCGGTGGTTTCATATGTGATAAAAAAAAGTAATTTACATAAACTTTATCTTTGATTTTCTCGGCTTAGACAACATTGATTTTTAAAATTACTTCAACAATGAACCATAAGATGGGTAGTTTTTTAAACCACTTAAAATCCTCGGAGTCCGTGCTTTATCAGATGTAAGAGACTCGGCTATCGCCTCGTGTTTTATATCTGATAAAGCACTCTTGCTCGTGTTTTAAATACAGGGTGTATAAAAAAAAACTGAACAGATTTAAAATTGCTCTCAATTTCGCAAAACAGCTATTTGTATCTGGTTTTTTATATATATATATAGCCTCTTCGGGTACTTATAATGTAGAATAATGAGAAAAATTTCTCGAACTCAAATTTTGTGAACCAGGGGGGTGTGTCTTTTCCAACAAACTAAAAATGGCTCGCGCACAAAATTTAAAAGCTGCAATCATATTTTGAGTTAACAGATGGAAAATTTGTCGGGATTTTAATTACTGTACAAAATTTCAGACAATTTGGTTTAGTTTAAGCCCCTTAACTGTTCACGCAAAGTTACAATTTTTCCGAAAAATCAGCTATTTGCATGCTTAATTAATGCATTTGCCTAATTTGCATATGTCAGCAATATGGAAATTAGGTAAAGGCATTAATTAAGCATGCGAAAGGCTGACTTTTTAGAACAAAATGAATAGTTAAAGGGCTTAAACTAAACCAAATTGTCTGGAATTTTGTACAGTAATTAAAAACCCGACAAATTTTCAATCTATTAACTCAAAATATGATTACAGCTTTTAAATTTTGTGCGCGAGCCATTTTTAGTTTGTTGGAAAAGACACCCCCCCCTGGTTCACAAAATTTGAGTTCGAGAAATTTTTTTCATTATTTTACATTATAAGTACCCAAAGAAGCTATATATATAAAAAACCAGATACAAATAGGTGTTTTGCGAAATTGAGAGCGATTTCAAATCTGTTCAGTTTTTTTTTTATACACCCTGTAGTGCATAACTTACTGATCGATCAATGTTCATGGGATCCACATCAGCTAAACTTGACCCGATACGTTCTCGATCAGCAAGAATTCCTTTATTGACATCTTCCGTTCCTAGATTCATTGGCAGGCATCTGTTGCGAGCTTTCGCCATACTTTTTGCCTTGCGTCTCTCGAATTTCCTGTCATCATCATCTTCATCTGGTAAAAAATGCCATGTTAGAAACTTTTGTATGGTGTGTTGTTGACTTAGTGTTGGTCTGACGCTTGTGATGTTACTCTGAGTGTATATCCACACCGGGCAAGCCTGAAAAATATGCCTGGCCACGGTGGGAATCGAACCTACGACCTTTGGAATACTAGCCCAATGCTCTGCCTGCTGAGCTACGCGGTCAGGTCGGTTCGAGTATGTGATATTTCGGAGTCTATCACATACTCGAAAATCCGCCCTGGATTTTACTGGTAGTTGAATCCCTGTCAATCATATTTTACGCATCTTTGCCTTCAGTTTGGTGCTGAGGCGTTCGGATTCTAGCAGTGCATTGTTTCAGTGGTTTTGGTTTTTTTGGGACACCCTTGTACAGTATACTGTGACTTTAAGGCCAAAAAAAAAATATGTGGGTTTCCGGTTTCCCGACCCTACCTAGCTTTTGGACGTCGAAATCACGACCCTAAACTTTTTTATTGGATCACGCTTGTAAGTGTTTCCACTTAGAGGAAAAAGTTTGTGGAGAATTGAAATTTGAGGCAATATTAGGGAAATTTATCTTTGGATGTGGAAGCACTGACTAAACAAAATGGCGTCCGCTTATTCGGAAAATTAAAAAAAAGTTAAAAAAAAAATTTTAAACCGACCTACCCTACCTAAGTTTTTATAAGAAGAAACCGGAAACCCACATTTTTTTTTGGCCTAATTAAAAAGTCTATATTACAAAGAGGAGTGGCACCATGCAATGGACTTTACGTCCAGTTTGTGCCTTGTCCGTTTGAGAACAGCACTTTTTAATTGCATGCTTAGATGAATATTTGTTGAATTAATTTGTACTCAATAAAGTTTAACAAACAATCCACAGCTTTCTGGACTTTGTAGTACCTGTGGAAGTCGAGCTTTCATTGATTGTTTTTCTTTTCAATTTGTAAGTTTTTCGAACAGGTGAGAAGGGCTGTTTGTCGGCACAGGCTCTTTCTCTGATGTGATGTCGAGAACCAGAGGAGAACAGTCCACGTCTCGAACCGTGATCTGTGGGGTTCAAAATAAAATTTAGTGCTGTCAAATTTTAAGGCTGCGAGGTTTTGATGAATTAGCCATTCCGAAGTTGATGAGTGGACTGGGGACGAGCGTTAAAAAGTGCCCAAATTAAGAAATGAACCAAATCACTAAAAAGAGCACCTCAAAATTAGTAAGTATACAAAGTTTGAAGACGTTTACAAGAATATCCTTCGAATAATAAGCTTTCGAAAATGGTGATATTTACTATGAAATGTATTGTAATTTTTGTTTTTGGGACGCGCATCCCAAAAACAATCTTTTAACTTTTAATCAGTAATTTCACAATTTTCGAAAGCTTATTATTCGAAGGGTATTCATGCAAACGTCTTCAAACTTTGTATACTTACTAATTTTGAGGTGGTCTTTTTAGTCATTTGGTTCATTTCTTAATTTGGGCACTTAGTAAGCCAGCCAGCAAGTAAGTCGGTCAGCCAGCCTGTAGTCATTAAGTCGGTTAGCCAGTTGGTCGGTTAGTTTGTTAGTTAGTAAGCCAGCCA